AAAAAAAAAAAAAAAAAAAAAAATGGCCAAACACAGTGGATCACGTCTGTAATCCCAGCACTTTGGGAGGCCCAGGAGGGTGGATCACGAATTCAGGAGTTTGAGACCAGCCTGGCCAACATAGTGAAACCACGTCTCTATTAAAAATACAAAAATTAGCTGGGCATGGTGGTGGGCACCTGCAATCCCAGCTACTTGGGGGGCTGAGGCAGGAGAATCACTTGAATCCAGGAGGTGGAGGTTGCAATGAGCCAAGATCACATGACTGCAGTCCAGCCTGGGCAACAATGTGAGACTCCATCTCCAAAAAAGAAAAGAAACTGTAATATTCTAGGTGACATGTACTACGTAGGCAGGCCTGCAAAGATTAGGTCTGTTCTCATATTATAGGATTATTTTCGTATCATGATTCTTTAAAAAATACAAAATGACCATTTGCACAGCATTTACAACACATGAGGTATTTTAGTAATCTACTTTTTATTTTTACTTTTACAAAAACTTTGGGTTGGTGAAAAATTAAGTAATGTAGGCATGATTTACAGGATGCAGGAGGATGCAGATAGGTTACATGCAAAAGTCACTTTATAAAAGGGACACAGCATCTGTGGATTTAGGTGTGCTTAGAGGGTCTGGAAACAATCCCCTGCATATGGCTCAGTAATAACCATATTCGAAAGAAACATCTTAAGGTTTTACCATCTGTTTTCATTCATGAGGCTTATTCCTATGTGATTTCTTTCATGTTTCTGAAATGAAATAAAATTAATGAATGCTTTCCCACACTTAGAGAGTATCTCTCCAGTGAGTCCTTTTATGTCTATGCAAGAAACGGAGGGAACTCAGCGCCTTCCCACATTCCTTACATACATGCCTCTTCTCACCAGTGTGAGTCCTTTCATGTCCTCGAAGGAAACGAGAACGAGTGAAGGCTTTACCACATCGTTTACACTCATAAGATTTCTTTCCAGTGTGGATTCTTTCATGTCGCAGAAGACAAGTGAGCCAAGAGAATGCTTTCCCACATTCCTTACATTCATATGGCTTCTCTCCAGTGTGAATCCTTTCATGGACTTTTAAGTTACCAAAATGACCGAAAGCTTTCCCACATGTTTGACACTCATAAGGTTTTTCAGCTGTGTGGATCCTTTTATGCTGAGAAAGGTATGTGGAACAACTGAAAGCTTTCCCACATTCCTGACACTCATATGGCTTCTCTCCAGTGTGAGTTGATTTGTGATTTTGAAAGGAATAGAAATTAATAAAGGCTTTCCCACATTTGCATTTATAGGGTTTCTCTCCAGTGTGAGTTGCTTCATGTCTTCGAAGGGAACTGGAAATACGGAAGGCTTTACCACATACTTTACATTCATAGGGTTTCTCACCAGTGTGAGTCCTTTCATGTCTTTGAAATACACTGACATAAACAAAGGTTTTCCCACATACCTTGTATTTGTGAGGTCCATCTCCAGTGTGCATTAGCATATGACTTCGAAAGCTTGAGCGATGAGATAATGCTTTCCCACACTGCTTGCATTCATAGGGTTTCTCTCCAGTGTGAGTTCTTTCATGACTTTGCAGTGAACTAGGACAATCAAAACCTTTCCCACATACCTTACACTTATGGGGTCCATCTCCAGTGTGCATTATCATGTGTCTTTGAAAGCTTCCCAGATGATGAAATGCCTTCCCGCATTGCTTACATGCATAGGGTTTCTCTCCAGTGTGAGTTCTTTCATGTATTCGAAGGGAACTGGAAACACTGAAGGCTCTTCCACATTGTTTACATTTATAGGGTTTTTCTCCAGTGTGAGTTCTTTTGTGTCTTATAAAGGAACTGGAATCGGGGAAGGCTTTAGAACACTGCTTACATTCATATGGTTTCTCCCCAGTATGTGTTCTTTCATGTCTTAGAAAGGAACTATAAATAGGGAAGGCTTTAGAACACTGCTTACATTCATACGGTTTCTCTCCAGTGTGAGTTCTTTCATGTATATGAAATAAACTAGGCCAAAAAAAGGCTTTTCCACACAACTTACATTTATAAGGTCCACCTCCACGTTGCACTATTATGTGTCTTCGAAGGTTTCCCAAAGAGCTGAAGGTTTTCCCACATTCCTTACAATCATAGCGTTTCTTTCCAGTGTCAGGTCTTTCTTGTGTTTGAAAGGAGTGGTGATAATTGAAGGCTGTCCCACATTGTTTGTATGTATGTGGCTTCTCTCCATATTCCTGACACTCACCTGGTTTGTGTCCAGCATCAAATGTGATGCAATTAAGGAATGAACAATCCATGTTGACTTCTCCATGCACACTGCTTTCACATGGATCTACTCCACGAGTTTTTTCAACCACAATACTATCTGAAATCTGGCTACTTTCACGGAATCTCTCTACAATATGACATCTGTAAAACATGAGAAGTATATTAATAAAGGTTTACTTATAACTGATTTTATATTTATTAATAGGCTTTGGATTTACATTTTTACATAATCATGCAATGTGTAGGCTTCAGGCGCTGCTCGAACGTGAATGGACTGAACGTTGTACAAGATAACTTGACCCCAGCTGTTTTCTTGACAATGATAAACACATAGAATTTTTAATACTGTTTCTAAGGGAATGATTTTTGCAAACACTGAATAGCTATGTCACATTTAAGTATATGTTTCTGGGCCAGGTGCAGTGGCTCACACCTGTAATCCCAGCACTTTGGGAGGCCAAGGCATGTAGATCATGAGGTCAGGAGTTTGAGACCAGCCTGGCCAAGATGGTAAAACTCTGTCTCTACTAAAAATACAATTAGCCAGGCATGGTGGCGGGTGCCTGAAGTCTCAGTTGCTTGGGAGGCTGAGGCAGGAGATTCACTTGAATTCAGGAGGAGGAGGTTGCAGTGAGCCAAGATTGTGCCACTGCACTCCAGCCTGGGAGACAGAGCAAGATGCTGTCTCAAAAAAAACAAAAACAAAAACAAAAACATATATGTTTCTGGATAAAATTTTCTAGGAATAAATAAATTTATATTGGGCTTGTTCATTTTCTTTGCCTATTTGTAAAACTTCCTGTCGTCCTAAGAATTGCTCCACAGATATGTCTTTCTCTTGTGAGTACAAATTACCTTAGGCTTCTCCTGGGATTTTTGTGCTGATCTTCAGTGTTTGTGTCTTCCCATTTCATTCCTAAAAGGTGAACACAGAAAAAACACTGTAGATTATTATAAAATTCTAAAAACACTATATAATTTTAGGTACAGGCTGGGCACAGTGGCTCACGCCTGTAATCCCAGCACTTTGGGAGGCCAAGGCAGGTGAATCATGAGGTCAGGAGTTCAAGACCAGCCTGGCCAAGATGGTGAAACCCTGTCTCTACTAAAATTACAAAAATTAGCTAGGCATGGTGGTGGGTGCCTGTAATCCCACCTACTGGCGAGGCTGAGGCAGAGAATTGCTTGAGCCCTGGCGGTGGAGGTTGCAGTGAGCTGAGATCACACCACTGCACTCCAGCCTGGGCAACAGAGCAAGACTCCGTCTCAAAAAAAGAAAAGATTTTATGTACAATAGAATCATGCATGATTCATTCACTGAATTATAGTTGACTCTTGAACAACACAGGTTTGAACCACATAAGTTCACTTATATATAAATTTTCTTCAGTCTCTGCTACCCCGGGACACCACGACCAACCCCTCCTCTTACTCAGCCTACTCAATGAGAAGACAATGAGGATGAAAGCCCATATTTATGATGATCCATTTCAATTCAATGCACAGCTAATATAGTTTCTCCTCTTTGTGATCTTCTTATTGACATTTATTTTCTCTAGCTTACTTTATTGTGAGAATATAGTATGGAATACATGTAACAGACAATATATCTGTTAATCAATTGTTTTTGTGACCAATTAGTCTACCAGTCAACTGAAGGTTAAGTTATGGTGAACAAAAAGTTATTGAATATGTATAACTGGTTGGTGACCCCACACCCCTTAACCCTGGGTTGTTGAAGGGTCAACCATATCCCCTTTCCATAATTCAAATCATTCAACAGCATTGATGACCAAGTAAAAAATGTCTCTAATTGACTAAGTGAAGACATAGTGTCATCTTTACCTATATAGTCCAGGTTCCTGATGGTTTCCCACATCACATCTCTGTACAGACTCTTCTGTGATGGACCCAGCAATGCCCACTCTTCCTGAGTGAANCCTATATAGTCCAGGTTCCTGATGGTTTCCCACATCACATCTCTGTACAGACTCTTCTGTGATGGACCCAGCAATGCCCACTCTTCCTGAGTGAAGTTAACAGCCACATCCTCAAAGGCTACTGAATCCTGAAACATCCCACATGTACAGAGGAGAAACATTGAGACTGATAGTACCAAAAATTTACACCCACTTCAGAAACTTTGTATGATGCTATTGTTTCTAAGCAGTGATTCAATGACATGGTCAATCCACTCTTATTCTCTCTCTACACTCACTTTCTCCCACACAGCAATTCTGATGCTAGAACTGAATGTTTGGTATAAATAATAGTCAAACAGGAACAGGTGTCTTTTTGATGACTTAAATGAGTGAATTTTATTGCCAGGATCATCCCTAATGTCTACTTCATAGTGGGTCTGTAATTCTTGTTGTGACAAAGTCCCACTACTTACTGGGCAAGATTAGGAGTCCTGAGATTGTATATAATTTACAAACACTGGTTAACAAAGTTGGATCTTTCATGTACTCTAGGCACTGGATTTATAGAGGGTCTCCACCAACATAACTAATAATAGGTGCTGAGTATGCATAAACTGTTTATGGAAAAAGTATAGTATTCGATTAACAATTATCTTCTCTTGGGGAGCTTGGAATTTTGTTACATCCTCAGCAGTGGGAGCACAGCTGATCAGCCAATGCTAGGCTTGAATGTTTGTCCCCACCAAAATGCATGCTGACACTTAACCCCCAATGTGGCAGTAATGAAAGGTGACGTTTGAAGAGGTTATTAGGTCTTGAGGATTTGGATCTCAAGAAAATCAAGATGAATCCATTCTTGAATTAATGGCTTAAAGAATAAATGCATAGTGATAGGAGCTGGACTTATGTCCCTATGAGAAGAGAAAGAGACCTGAGCTAGACACTCAGCTCTCTCATGAAGTGATGCCCTGTGCCACACAGGGATTCCACAGAGTCTCTGCCAGCAAGGAGGTTCTCACCAGATGCCCAGCCTTGACCTTGGACTTCCCAGCCTCCAGAACTACAAAATACATATATTGTTTCATTTAAATTATCTAGCTTCAGGTATTCTGTTATAAGCAACAAAAAAACATAGACACAAGGAAACACTCTGGGCACTGAGTCTCTAATGAATGACACTGATAAATAACCTTTCAAAACGCTGTTGCACCATGTTACCTGGGGGATTCAACCCATCCTATGTGATTACACTAAGAACATTAAGAAGCTGGCAACAGGTTTCCTTTAAATCAAATGTGGCAAAGCAAGACAAAAGACTAAGAAAATACACTTCATCATCCCAGTGGAAGACTTTTACACTTTTTTTTTTTTTTTTTTTTTTT